CTCTTACAACCAAGATAGATTTAACCTTAAATGTCAGGTGTAACCAACACTGCTGTGAACTGATATTAGAAATCATTTGCACTTCATCTAGAGCTTCGCACATCCTGTTGTTAATAAGGTAAACAGGAGCATCGCCACAGTTATATAGCAAAATCAATCAAGTAAGCACAGAGGTAGTTTTCAATGACAGATATCTTCGTATCTAATCCCTTCCCCCAGCAATTCATTTGTTCCAAGTAAGTGTGAAATTTCTGTGAAACTGGAATTTAGTTCTTACATCACAAGCTCTAACCCCATTATAATTTAGGTTAACCCTTTCATGGCACCCAACAGCGCTGCAGAGCTCAGCAAGGGCATCTAAGGACGATGATGCTATTAAAATATCAGAGCAATAATAATAATTATACATGCTACATTACAACATGCAGAAGAATACTGGTTCTGATTCTCATCCTGTCCTCCATATTATTGTTTTTCTGCTTGGAATGTGACAGCAGAGTCTAAGGTCCATTAGCAATATAAAGAGAATCATTACTCTGACCTTTAGAATTCATTTATATAGAAAAATCATTTGCCACTCATATGCTAAAAATCATTACATTCATAATTATTTCTGCTGGAAGTCAAAAGTGTGCACCTAACTTATATTCTGAATATCTCTTTTGATATTTGCTTTAAATTATTTGATGTAGAAATAAACAATTACACTCATTGTGCAGTTTATGCTCAGTTTTTAAGATTCTATATATCAGGATTATTTGATCAAGAGATATTTTTATACTCTTTGTTTATCCCATTGTATTTTCTTTCCACTTCTATTTGATTTTTTTTTTAAATTTTTGGCTCATAGCACTTTATAAAAAGTGCTTTAATTATACCCTGCTTCTCAGGCATAAAAATTTGTGTTATTTTATGTCATATTTTTGCTAGCAATTATAATTCACCCAAGTATCTTGAATGTTCAGAGCACATTTAATATAGATAGTTCTCACCCAGTTAAAAGCAGGTACAGACATGACATGGGCTGACTATAAAAGCACATACTTGGATAGGGAAGTGACTCTGTTCGTTAAGTGCTCACCATGCAAGTGTGAGCATCTGTGTTAAGAAGAAACTAGGTAGGATGGTTCATATGAGCACTTGTAATCTGTAATATCAGTACCAGGAAGGTGGGGGTGTATACATCCTTTGAGCTTCCTGACCAACTCAACTACTTGTTGAGTTCCAGTTCACTGAGAGTTCGTCTCATAAAAAAACTACATGGCACCTGAAGAGAGACACTTGAGGTTGTCCTCTATTCTTCACATAAACACACCCATTCATACACATGTACAGCTGCATGCACAACTACCTATACACAGACACATGAATAATCATGCACATACACACGCATATTGTGCACAGCCACAGTCTACTGCTTCAGAATGCATTTTCAGCCTCTTGGTGGAATATGTGACAGTTGTTATTTTCAATAGTTCCCAATAATCTGTAGACCACAAAACTCAATAATTTAGTCAATGACTGTTACAGGAAGAAAACTGCAGGATATTTCTAGTAAGTTGAACTCAATTTTCAGATTTGATAGTTTAAAGATGAAAGGCTTTTTCTTCAAGGTGAAAACAGAATCACTCGGGATGGCAGGTGCTTCAGTTCTTGCTGCCCCCTCCTCTCAAAGATTAAGACATCTCTAGGAGTTAGGATGCTAATTCATCACCAAATCCCAGTGCTCTTTGCAGTTACTGTATCTCTAGCAGGTTAGACATGTTAGCTCGTCCACAGATGCAAATCTTTCATCTTTCTCTCAGATGAACCTAGGAGTCATATACACTTAATAGATGCAGGTTGATGGCTGTAGCCAACTCAAAAATTGATTCTAAAGTAAGCACTATTATGGCTCCCTGTGCTATCCAAAGTACTTCTGTTCTGAATCTGAGGAACATGGTTCCTGTCTGTGACTGTTGGCCATTCCCTGTCGTCCTTATTCTTGTCATGGATCTTATTTCTTTTGTCTGTTCTCTTGAGCATCTTGTCCTGGCTAATATCAATCTGGTATTTTCACTATAAGATGCGATCCATGAATTTTCAAAACAATTACAGCAACACTTGGACTTGTGGTCATTCGAAATGAAAGGGGGTGTTTTCTGGTATCATTTGTAAATCAGAGAGCAGAAATAGTTATTCATCTCACTGGGGGAAGAGAGGCTTAAGCTTTTTCTTTCCTGGAGTTCTATGCATGAACTATCATGAAATATGTGTGCTTTTAGGTTCTTTTCTCTTCATGACAGTAAATAACATAAGAGGACAAAGTCCATGTTCTCAACACATGCAAGTTATAATGAATCTGAGGGAGCAAGAAGAATATCTCTAAGTTCCACGTTCATAAGTTCTTTCTGATTTTCAAAGCTATTCATCTGATCAGCAAGATCGAAAGGGTGCCACCACGTTCAAATGAGAAATCATTTCACTAAAGTCCTTAAGTGTCAGGCATTGATATTAGATACAAAGTTTAAAACTGCTTGTTCCTTTCTCTGCCACACTTGTGCTCTGATCATGATAATAATACAAGATATACTTCAGATTCACACAACCTTAAATCCTGTCATGAAACCTGGCATATGGAGAACACATTAATGTTCTATAAGGGTAGAAGAGAAAAAATAGTCTCTGAAAAGAGCAATGATCGACGTTTTGGGAAAGGCCTTTGCTTACTTCCCTTTACCTAGTGAAAGATTCACCTCATAGGAATCTAATCTCTGCAAACTGTTTGCATTTCCTGGTCCACCTTGGAATCAGTGTCAATTGTCAAAGGACGGTGGTTTTTGAACAACAGGAGCATTTTGAAAGGTACACCCTGACAGAGATGAAGGTGAAATGACAATTCACCGTTATGTTCAAGTGCCTCTCTATAGAACAATGAAAAAAGCAAAAAGGTGAAGTCATAGGCTTCCTGTGGCTTGGTTGACCAGCACCTCTGCCTGGCCACAACTTGAAATGCATGGTGGAAATTTCACATTCAGGATCCTGATACAGAAAACCTAATGGTATCATGAATTAGAACAGTTCACTCAATGTTAGTGTGCATATCTGGGATCACACATCTAAAACTCCAGCATTAGAGCTGGTGTGCTCACTTGTAGAATACTTGCCTAGCATGCCCAAGGCCCTAGGTTTAATCCCTAGCACTGCAAAATGCATGAAATAAATCTAAAACATAAAACATTGTTTCTTCTTTTATGGTCCTCTGATTTATATGGTTTAATGTCAAAGGGAGTAATAACTTCAGCATGTGGGAAATGGGAAAGTTTTAATGTTATTTTAACAGATATTGAGTATATAATAAACAATTTTATGTATGCTTTCATTATTAAATTCCAAATGAAAATATACTCTCACTGTTTCTGTTTAGTATCCTGTATCTTGCGGGGGGGGGGGGGGGGCAGTTTGAGATAGTTTGAGTTTTTCTGTGTTACAGCCCTAGCTGTCCTAGAACTGGCTTTGTAGACCAAGCTGGCCTTGAACTCATAGAGATCTGCCTGCCTCTGCCTCCACAGTGCTAGGATTAAAGACGTGTACCACCATGCCCAGCTAGTATCCTGCATATTAACAGTGGTAAAAATGTTAAAATAGTTTGTGCTACATATTTTCCCCTTAGATTCTTATTCCCAGAGACACGTATAAAGAGGAAGTAGTCTCCTTAACCAAATGCATTTTAGAATAGGAATTTTGTCAAGATTTTTATTCCTTTTGTGTGTACTATGCAATTAATAGTTAACAGTGAAAGGTGCCATCCACCAGTAAGGTGGATGTTCGGAAAGTCCCAAGGTGGTTTTATTTATGGTCTGCAGATTGCGTTAGCTTTACCCTTTAGCACCACCTGCTGGACGAAATAACATCTGCTTATGTGTTTCCAACTACAGATTAAATTAGCCCCTTCATGCTCTATACCTATCTGTGATTTACCTTGTGCGCACTCACCCAGAAACTTTTCCAATTTTAAACAACTTCATAAGCATCATAAGTCAAAATGTCTGAGAGTTTCATTGATACTGTTGCCAATAAAAATATCAAAATGATTTTTCTTTATAATTAGCACATTCAAGTTTTACGTGATGTGTCAACATATGTACATAATATGCTCAGATAGAATCAGAGTAATGGGCATTTCCATTTTTTTTCATAACTCTTTCATGCTTGCCAGCTCCTCTCATCCAGTTCTTCATAAAATATATGGCAGGATATTGTGAACTCCATCATCCTGTTCCATTCAGCACTGGAAATTATCCCTCTTATCTGTTTTTCAGTATTATCCCTCCACTCTTCCCTCTTCTCTTAACCACTATTATATTTTCACATTGACCTTTTGTGGGAAGAGCATATGGTATTTGTCTTTCTATGGCTGTAAAACCTTAAGATTTTTTCAAGACACCCTGACTATGAACAGATATGAAAAGTATTTTACATTGTTAATCAAAATTATCCTTTTCATGTTTTAATTATTTATCACATTTCTCAATAAAGCATGAATTGACCTGTTACTTTTTTTTTGTATCAGATTAACAAACACTGGTTTAAATTAGATTGACTCCCAAATATAGCTAACCATGTTGTGAATAATTCTTTATGAGGATTTTTTACTCTATAATTTTACCATGATAATATTTTATAAAAAATAAAATTTAGTTTCATTTATGCCGATAAAATCAGCTATTTGAATACTGACTTTTCACCATCCAAATAAAGTTGAATTTTTCTCTTGCTTGAACCATTTCTTGATACTTAATTTTTATTTCCTAAGAGGTAAATTTGATAACAGTTCAATGAGAATTATCTTAAGCTATTTTGAGAATTTTGAACATGTTATTTTTGGTGTAGCCTCATGTTTCTGTGAAATATATTCCTAGTAAATACAGTGAAGAACATAATTGGCTTATAAATTCCCCCTGTGTCTCTGCTATAGCTTCAGGACAACACTCAAAATCTCTTTTCCCTTTTGCCCAAAGGCCTCGGATGGTACACTGTCAACTCAGCTTATGGAGACACCATTGTCATGCCTTGCCGACTCGATGTACCTCAGAACCTCATGTTTGGCAAATGGAAATATGTAAGTGTGAGCCTCCTGGGGCTTAGAGAACTGCTGCCTCCAGTTTTTAGAATATAATTCTCTCTCTTTTTTTTGAGAATGTATGAGCATGTAATACTGACATAATGCTAATACTCATCTGTTCACACCTGTATAGAAAGAATTAATGTATTGAGTATGTCAAAAATATTCATGATTATATAACTAGTGCTGTTTTTAAATATACCCAATAACTCAAAATTTGTATGTCATCTTTGTCAGAAAATTCCATACTTTAAGTGTTAGCAGCAGAGGGAAAGGCAGAGTTATGAAGTACAGTTTTGTGGAGGAGAGCATTCTCTCTTTACTAGTTTCTGTGTAATGCAGCTACTGCAGTACCTAGAGAACTCAGATTTCCAGGGGGAACTGGCAATCAGCATTGTTTCCGTTGCTGAATCTTCTAAGTGTGTGCTGATATTACAGATAACTTGTACATTTAACATTGTTGATTTCATCCATTGCTTACCCTTAACTCCATCGCATTTTGTCAGGCATAACTGTGCAGATGGGTCTGGAAATGGAGATCAGAGATCCTGGTAGGTGGGTGTGGTAGCCCAGTTAACTTTAACAGATTAATGCCTCAGTTGAACACAGATCAATGAAAGGTGTCTTTGTGGTATAGTTTCTCAACACAGGGCCACAAGAGACAGCAGTGAACAAGCTTCAAGTAGATGGATGTTTCCTGGAACACAATAGCCTGTTTCCCTAGTCCCTGAATATTTGCAGACATTTGCATAGGGGAATGTTGTTGGTTACCAGATGATTTATTAACTGTTTGCTTATTGCAGCATTTCTCAGAACAGTAGGTATGTTAAAATGTACTATGAATTGTATAAGACCTTGGTTGGATTAATTTGTTAGATTTATTTGACCACCAACATTTTTACCTAAAATGTCTCCATAAAAATTATGTTATACTAAATACAGTTTGTCTGAAGTGCCTAAGCTTGCACCCAAGGCAAGAACTGACATGGCCTTTTACAATGTGAGCTCTGAAATACAACCAACAGGGTCTAGAGTCTTCCATGGATAGGTAAATTAGGCATATTTTCTTACTATGAAAATGAGATATCTTCCTCACAATGTTGTTGTGAGGGCTAAGTAATTAACTCATAGCAAAATGCTTACTAGTACTTGACAGGTAGCAAATAGCTTTACGAATTCAGCTGTAACAACTAACTCTAGGGTTCAACCCCCCAGCCACACTACGCATGTGTGAGTGTCATAAAAGAAAAAATAGAGGGGACACAACACACTGCGTCTCTGTGCTCATTGTCAGGTCAATCCGGGTCATTCTGAACTCCGTCTAGTTCCCTATAAAAGTGGAGGAGTTGTGATCAGGAAAGAGCCTATTCGGAGTCCTCAGGTTCCAAGTCTCAGAGTCTACCATGCAGTGTACCCACTGAACCAAAGTCACCGTCAAAATAAATGGAATCAACTGAGAGAAATATGAACATGTGTGATCATAGTACAGCCTAAGGATAACATAGGGACTAGATTCCACACAAACTAAATTGACACACTGGTAGAGACCAGTGTTCCTGGCACCATTTCCCATGCTGGATTATATATTATTTTGATCATGTTTTCATATGACAGCTTTTCAAAGAAAGTTTTAAGCCTCAAATAAAAACCTCTGGGTTTCAGTGGTCAATCTGGTTCTCTTTTAGTGAAGAGGATGGTTTGCCTGAGCCGAATATTGCTCCTTCATGAAAACTGAATGCGTAGTGTAAAGGACCACCACATCAATGCTAACTGGCAAACAGGAACATTTAAAGTGTGGGGATTAGAGCAATGCATGTTTCAAATACAGCTGTCTGATACTGCTGAGGCCATATATCAAGATCAGCTATACGACCACTTTGGTTTTTTATGTGGGTTTTTTTTTATGACCACACAATTTTTTTCTGAAGATTAGTTTTTGTATTTTTATGTTTATTTGCATCTACTTTTTTGCTGTATATTAAGCAAGACTACGGCATGTCCCTTCAAAACAGCTACCGATGTCCCATAAGTGTGAGATGAGCTCCAACTCTGAGAGCTTTACCCTTTCGTTTTCACCCATCTCTATGAACCTATGAGTGAAACAACAGGTTCACTTCATGTGAAGTGTGATTTTTCTTTCTGCAAGCAAAGAATTACGTGATACTGATATCTGAAAACCACTGCTCTTTAACACCACCACCCACAAAAGCCCATCTAGAATAATATGGCAAAAGAAATCATACTATTCTGAAACATGAATTATGTGTATTTTCAACATGTATTGTTACTTTATTTTTCAGGAAAAGCCTGACGGATCCCCAGTATTTATTGCATTCAGATCCTCTACAAAGAAAAGTGTGCAGTATGATGATGTACCAGAATACAAGGACAGATTGAGCCTCTCAGAAAACTACACTTTGTCTATCAACAATGCAAAAATCCGTGATGAAAAGAGATTTGTGTGCATGCTAGTGACCGAGGACAACGTGTTTGAGGCACCTACACTAGTCAAGGTGTTCAGTAAGTAGACTGCACTAACACGGCTAAGCGGGGTTGATGGCTGGTATGAGAAGGTGTTCTTCAGGTGGAAGCTTGAGCTCTCTGCAATGCCTCTCACAGGAAACCATGTGTAAGGGAGTTTCTAGAGCTCTTTATTCTATTTATGCATGCTGGTGGCAAGGAAGATAAGTCTGGCATTCAAGTAGGAGATGCACAGTGAGGAAGGAGAACAATAACGTTAGAACAGTAACTTTCCTTGGGATGTGGATTGCTACTGGTGATAACTGACTAATGACCTCTAACTTCCAATGATTTGTTCAAAGAAAAAAATCATAATGCTTATATAGGTATAAGATACATATATAATCATGTGTATCATATAAATGTAGTCATATAAAATTGGCATTTTAATATATAAAAAAGAATAAAGTACAAATTTAAGGTATTCTATAATCTAGAGATCTAAGAATTCAACCTGTATATACATATATGTGTGTGTGTGTGTGTAACATGTTTATAAGTGTGTATGTGTTCATATGTGTGTATGCGTGTACTTTCTAGCATTCAATGCTTGTTGATGCAGTTTTTAACATGTTCACATGGTTCAGAAAAATTTCACTAAAATAATGAAGCTCAGAACACTGAGAATGCTCATGGGATTACAAAGGTATTTCACCAAAAATATAAAGTAGGGTTGGAAAAAAGAAACTAATGGAAGATACTCAACATAATTACTATAGTTACCATGGCACAATGACTTCACCTGATAATATATAGTTAATGTTACTGTGCAAATAGCTATGCAAATGAATGACTTGAGATGTATAATTAAAGTAGTTCTTCTTTAAAGATTCAAATAAAAAGTCCCACCTCTAAAACATTACATCATAATGTTTTAGAAACTACAGGAAGAAAAAAAATCAAGTCCAAAAAGTTTCAGAATCCCAGTCTTTCTTAATTGGGAAGAATGTCTTACTTTTCCACTTCCTCTCTCTGTTTTCTGATGAGTTGACAGCTCCTAGAAATGATTAAAATAAATAGTAAAGAAGGAAACCCCGGAGGCCTCCAACTGGAGCAAGCAACCATGGACTATTCGTGTTTCTCTTTAATAACCTATGCAGCTGAGTAGGGCTGTCCCTTAAGTATTTATGTAGACTTCAAAGCTCCAATGAGTTCATGATGCGTACTCAAAGAACACGAACACTGTCAAAGGAAACCTTTGTTCTCCAGAAAGGGCTTGTAAATATATATTACACGTTTCAGTTGATTATCCTTTAGCTTAGAAGGCACCTTCCAGAAGTCATCTACACCTCCCCATCATATTTTAATCAAACCAAGCCCCAGCTGCTTACCAGCACTGCCTACTTCCACAGGGTTCGGGAAGAGCTCGTGTTCCACATTTGCCGTTGACCGCGTTGGCTTTTGAGTTTCCTTTATTTCCCTTACTTCCTATTATTTCGTTTTTATTAGAGAGATGGAAGGTAGATTTGCTAAGGGCATTTTTTTTTTCCTAAAAGCAAAATAACAGCAACAACAACAAACTTACCATAGGCTTTGATATCATAAATACCAAGAATGTGGGTAGACTAACTCACAACACTAATCATTATGTAAATTAATTTGCCATTTTCAAGTTTCTATAAATTATGTTGAAATTATTGAACTTCAATGTAGTACACAAATAAGCCAGGAACAGCCCGAGTTATATTTAGAAGAATCATTTGTGACATTTTCCAAATTTTCTTCCTTTATAAAACTGCTACATCGGTATCTAAAAGTAAAAATCCGATTGGTTTAATTTAATAAAATTTCTAAGCTGCTTTAGAATATAGAAGCTTTCTGTCATGGTGAAAACAAACTCACATGCCACATACCGCCAGGACCCCTGCCCCCTGCTCTTTTGAATGTTGTGGAAAACAAAGCAATTCTCAGTAACAGAATTTGCATTCCAGGCTGTGGGCCAGGGAGAATTTACATAGCAAGTTACACACTCTCGAAAATGGCGTTGATTCTGAGAAACCAAGAAAGACCCACCATGCAAGAAAATGAATGACATCTCAAATGATCATGACACCCCTACAAGATCGTGTAGGAATTATGAATTTACGTCTGGCCACTTTTTGCGAATCCAGCAGCAGCTGTGGCAGGGAGGCTTTCATCCTCTGCGTGTATATATTTCAGTCACTTAAGAGTTACTGTGCTCATCAATCAGTCCTCTGTTTCCCTCTATTGAATCACCTAGCAACGTGAACCATGTACCATCAGCCTTCTGCAGACTGCCAGCCCCATAAGCAAAATCAAATTGCCTTTATGCAAGCCAGAGGAACTAACTGATGATTTTGACTTCAATGCGTGTTTGTTTGTTTAGTTTTAAACTACATCTCTGATGTAAGGAATCATATCCCTAAGTCCAAGCAAGTAACGGGCTTGGTTACCACTAATCAGTTCTTGAATGGCATCAAAATGAAGCTGCCTTTGTGTTTAGTGCACATTTGAGAGTAATAAAAGTATTTGGAAGCAAAATTAGACCACTGAAACTTCCCAAAGATTCATTCCAATGATTGTGCAAAATGCTCAGAGGTCAAACAGGTGCCCAGAGAGCCAAATGGCTCTCAGTGATGAGTTGGGAAAATCTTTGAGCTGGTCACCGGAAGACCTTGCTTTGTCAGAACTGCCACTAAGTTCTGACCTTGGCAAGTCTCTGCCTGCGTGGGATTAAAACGACCTCTTGAGTAAAATGAATGTTTTAGATTACGTGGGAGGCTTTTCTATTCTGCTGCTAATGCCCTGTCCAGGAGCTAAGGAGCAGGGTCTAGCATTGTCAGAAGCTGCTTCGATTCAAGTGGTTAGAATCCTATTCACTGTTTCAGTTATGTACAATAACTTGTGGATGAAAAGAAAAAGAAGACGAAGAAGAAAAGTCAGCCTGAGCCACTTAGGAGATCAGGCCTGACTGCAGAGTCAGCATGGAGAACATAAGAAGACCCATCTGGATGTTTTAAGGGTGTGAGGCATCTCTGGGTGAGCCTTTGAACACTACAGTCTTAATTTGTCAATTCTCTGTGTTTGGTGGTATTCTCTGGTATTACAAGAAAGCCCAAGACTTAGTCCATGCACAAGTGGTCCAGTCCTCAAGGCGCTGGCCAGTGTGTGCAGGCTCTACACATCATTTCCCAGTTCCTACTTGGATATGATTCTTAAAGCTTCATCGAATTGGAAAATTGAGAATCTCTCCTCCCTCCATTGGAAGATTGTTAAATCAGGAAATAGTAAATCCCATCAAAGACCTGAGAAGGAATATAATGGTACCTAAGAAATGGTAGATGGATGCAAGCAACGGTCGGGAATCTTGCAAGAATAGACCAAGACAGCTGGCAGCCTGGACAGTCACCTAATGTTTCTCAGCATTGTTGGTGCATTCAAATTGGCTACAGGCCTAAAGTATCTGACAGACCATTTTCAGAAGCAGGAATTCTGAAAGACCATCTTACCCTGTCTTGGCAGAATACAGTGGTCGCTTTCCTTGTGTCCCGCTTGTCCAGAAAGGACAGCATTGCATTTGTACTGTCAGCAGTCGAGGCAAGGGCAGTTCTTTGCCCAGTAGGCCATTTTGTGCCAAGAAGACAAACTTCCAAATGGAAATGCCTTAGAAGCCCAACATTCTCTCGGGATCAAATTGGTGCAGCCAGGAGCAATTGTGTCTCACGTCAACAGAATTCTGAGTTATTTAAATGCCATATTCTCTAGGTCTATGAAGTGTTTGAACATTACCTGTCCATCTGACCTATGTATCTGTAAATCTGGATAACCTAACTAATGTAACTCCTTTTAACTACATGGAGTGGCCTTAATAATTTCACCAATAAATATTTTTCAAGGGGAAAGAAATAGAAAATGAGCTATTTAACAAATAAGATATAAACTGTATGTTACAGTTTGATTCTTTCTTTTTGGGGGAGGGTGGTGAAGGAAATTGAAACTGGGTCTCACATAGCCCAAGCTATTCCACAAACATGCTATGTAGCCACAACTGGCCTTGAACTCCTCATCCCCCTCCATCACCATCCAAGTATTGAAATGATATGTGTATCATTGTACCCAAGTCACTTTGATTCTTAAAATACAAAAACAAAACAAAACAAAACAAAACAACAACAACAACAAAAAAGTTTCCAATCTAATGAGAAAAATACAACATTATTCCATGGATACACTAGCTTAAGTGCTTGGTGACTGGGAAGGAATTTGATTGTCAACAGGGATTGAGAGCCTTGCCTCTGCACAAACCTGCCAGGGCATTTTCTCCTCTTGTTCATGGACTGAGCTAGCCTTTGTATGGTTTTACAATAATGCTGTGATACCACGGGTGACAAAGAACACTTTTGTACGCAGCACTACATCTTCACCTGTACATTAGATGGCTGGGGGCCCAGACTGTAACTTTTAGTAAGGTATTGATTTCTACTTTTTTTTCCCTGAAAAATCAATATTCATAGCATTCATTAACTATAGCCTGAGAGTTAGAGCTAGGAAGTGGGCTATCTATTTTAGTATATTTATTCCTGATCAGTCCTTATCTCTATTACAATATCCTTCTCCAAAAGAAAAAAAATTGGTTACAAAACAAGAGCAGCGAGTAGAAGAGCAAAGCTTCTGTCTCCAGAACGCTTGAACTTACGCAGCGTTTTCTATCTAGCTCAGCCTTTAATTATTTGTGGTAAGCCTTCAAGGGATATTAACAAAAGCCTGTGATCTCTTTAGTTAAAAAGAAACCACTTCAGCTTGAGAATTATATTCCATTGTTACAGATACTATTGTATGGCAACACACACACACACACACACACACACACACACAGCCCTGCACATGCAGCGAAATACTGCATTGTCAGGTGTTCCAGGGCTTACTATATGATTTATTTCTAAAATCTTAAAATCTCCCTGTCCTATAATTTTTAATGTGCCACCATATTGTGTCCCTAGGTTGGCATACTTCTAGCTACTTCAACTGAGAGAGCCAGGCCAGCAAGGAAGTAAACTATGAACTAAGACATAATTCTATAATTGATACATGTCACATGAGCGCTTCTAGAGAGATTACTTGGAAATTTTCTGAAACAAACTTTAGCTTAATTTTAAATTTGTCACATTGACTAAATTAATGTTACAAGCAAATTTGTAGTGTTGTTTTTCTTTCAGTTTTATACTTGGTTATGAATCCTTGAATCATATTAAGATATAATTCACATGAAGTGATTTTTTTTTTTTTACAAAAACACTACTTGGGAATCGATATGCAATTTTGCTAAAATAGTATGTGTCCTTTTAATGGTTCTCCAACTAATATCCATTGATTGTTACAAGCTAATATAAAAGAAAATTACATACAAAAAATGTAGTTAATACAAAGGGTTTGGAGCAAGAATCTAAGGAGAAAATAACTCAAGGGAATAGAATAGTTACTATTATTAAGTTATCATTAAATCACAAAGTTCACTGGGACTCTTCCAAAGAAAAGATGAATAAAAATTTAAGAAAGACTAAAAGTTAAGCACCCTTCCACCAGGTCCTTTTCTTTCTTTCTTTCTTTCTTTCTTTCTTTCTTTCTTTCTTTCTCTCTCTCTCTCTCTCTCTCTCTCTCTCTCTCTCTCTCTCTCTCTCTCTCTCTTAACTACAACTTACTTTCGCTAAAACAATGATGAATTTTAGAAATAATTAATGTAAGCAAAGGATTTCACAAATTCGACATACATGGGGTGTGTGTGCTTTTGTGCCTATTGATGACATGTTATCAGGTTTAATTAAAAATAAGAGGTAAACATGTTGGGTAGTAAGTGGAGGCTCAAATATGAGTTCGGTCTTTTTCTGTAGTACTCAGTGAATTGAAAAGCAGTAAAATTTGTCAAAATTACCCAGTAAGCTTTTTTTTTTTTTTCTTTTTTTGATTTTTCGAGACAGGGTTTCTCTGTGTAGCTTTGTGACTTTCCTGGAGAGATGGCTCAGCCATTAAAGGCTAGGCTCACAACCCAGTAAGCTTTTATTCAGAGCCTACATTTGTGTGATTTGCAAACCTCTCCATATTTTCCAAGCATATTACTATTGAAGGAGAAATTAAATACCAGTTGTCTTTTCCTTTCTGTTAATTTTGACCTTTTTAAAAATCAGATAAATTAATTAATGTGTTCTGTCACTTGAGTTTTTAAGGGTTTTGTCACTTAAGGACTTCTTAGGAGCTTTGGTTTATTTAATTAAGACCCAAGAATTTTCATTTGTTTAAATATTCTCCGTGCATTTGTCTCTCAAACATATTAAATGTTTGTCTTTGACAGCATGGATTCTAAGCAAAAGTCAATGTCTGATCAATAATTCAGTTTTGATTTGAAGTGAGTTCCATTAAAATGCTGAGAGCATTAAGTTGTATTGACATACAAAAGGATTTAACCTCCACGCCATATGTTTCCCCCACATACTTGTGACTATTTCGAGGGGAAATTTTGTGAACGTTTTCTAATCTGTAGTCACTTTCTCAATACTCAGGAACTTGGGCCTCACTTCTTGTTTGCATTAACCTTGATTGTCTGCCCTGTTCATTTGTATTGCCGTTTTCCTGCTTTCCTGAGTTTTGTTCCTAGCTGCTGTTATCATTGTAAAACTTCCATTAGTGGAATCATTATATAGCAAATAAGATCTATAAGCAAAGTGCATGGGGTCAACACACAAGTTCATTATATTCACTGTTCTAATATAACACACCTACAAAAGGAAAATTAATGATACCCTAAAGAATGTTACTTTTTTTTATTCATTCTAGAGACAACCATTTTGTAACTCCATTTGTGTTATGGTCTGGTGAGGTAATTCTTTCAACTTAACCCAAAATTGAGTAATACAATACAAAAATCAGTTTAGTTTAGTATGAGAATCAAAAATCTTTAAAAATATAAACATCAACACTATGAAAGGAAATACGATTAGTTTCTTGTGTTTAAAATAAAAGTAATTCTACTCTGAATGATAACGAGTCAAGTTACATTCTTTATAAACTAATTAGTTGAGTTTGTTTGTTTGTTTGTTTGTTTGTTTGTTTGTTTGAGACATGGTTTCTCTGTGTAGTCCTGGAACTCGCTCTGTAGACCAGGCTGGCCTGGAATTTAGAGATCCACCTGCATCAGCCTCTCAGAGTGCTAGCATTAAAAGTATGTGTCACGAGAGCCTGGCTTAATTGAACTGTTTTTAAAGTATAAAATTTATCATTAATAGAAAACTAAAAGAATATAAATCCTTTATTGAGACTATATAAAAAGCTCAAAAAGAATACCCCCAAAAAATCTTTAATAATCGATAACTGGACAAACAAAATAGACAGTTCTGAGAAATACAATTTACCAATAAATATTAGATTAAAAGGTTTTACATTCTTGGCCACCAAGGATTGAAAGCCAAAACTAGATTCTCTTCTATCCTAGTGAGAAAGGCTGTTATTAAGAAAAAAAAACAGTAAATTCTCGTGAGGACAAGAAAAGAAAAATCTTATATAAAGCTAGTAGCAATGCCAATTAGTCCAGTCACTGTGGAAATTAGAATGATAATTCCTCAAAGAATAGAAAACAGAACCATTATAGGATACAACTGTACCATCTTTAGGTATGCACTCAATGGAATCCATGATAAAACACAACAGAGATACCTGCACAGCCATTTTTATTATAGCACTATCCCCAACAGTTAAATTGTAGATTCAGCTCATACGTCCATCCACACATGAGCAGATATAGAAAATAAAGTGTAAGTCTAGATGTTCTTACTTAGCCATTAAAAAAAAAAAAAAAACAAAAATTGTAATTGCAGAAAATGGGGAAAAGGTCATCATGTTAAGCAAAATAATAAAGGTTCAGAAAGATGAATGTCATGTTTTCTCATATATATGGAATCTACACTTAAAAATTTAAGATTTGCCAGGCGATGGTGGCGCACTCCTTTAATCCCAGCACTCGGGAGGCAGAGGCAGGCGGATCTCTGTGAGTTCGAGGCCAGCCTGGGCTACCAAGTGAGTTCCAGGAAAGGAGCAAAGCTACACAGAGAAACCCTGTCTCGAAAAAAAAAAAAAAATTTAAGATTTGAAGGTATAGAGGGTACTATTAAAACAAGAAAAATGACAGTGGGGCCAGCACAGAACATGACAATGAGGATGAATAAGATCAAATTCCATAATATGGTTATATGAAAATGTCACAATGAAAGTTTCTATTATATTGAACAATGAATATGCATTAAGAAGAGCAAAATAACTTAAAGAAATCATTGCTGAAATTTTAATCAATTTTCTCTGAAGCTACTTTTAGAATTTGTTTAAAGAACTTTCTAGAAACTCTCTGTCCTCTATTTCAAGTATCAAATTGGAATTTTTTAAAAATATTTTTATAATTTCATAAGGTCAGATAAGAGATAAACATTGATTTATTTAGGAAATTGGGGTATGTACATCACTACATAGATTTCTCATTATTTTACAGCTGTATTTCTTAGACTTCCTTGTGCCTAAGAATCCTTAAGGAGCTTGTTAAAAAGTATAGACCAATGGAATTTTCCCTGGAGATTCTGGAAGCTTCTTAAGCCTCAGAAATGCGTGTTTCAAATTAAAACCTTTGTGATTTGGATTCATATGCAATAACACCCTCAAGTAATGAATTAGAGGTCTTATACTTAATAAGTAGAAAGTACTTATTTTCTTGGTAATCAACAAGAAATATGTTCTAATTTCCTAATTAGAACTAATGTTCTAATATTAATGTCTATATTTACCATCAAATCCATATTGACCTCAAAAAACATCTAGAGAGTATTGAAGATATTTTATTCAAAGGAGTTATAAGTACTTAAAACAATACTTCAAGTCATAAAGCAAGTACTTGATAGGATACCTACTACATTCCTTAAATCTGGATTATTGTAAATAATCCATTCTTTATTCTATTGTTTATGCTTTTGCTTTGAGGATACAGATTCTCTTTTTTTTTCATAAATCATTTGTGTCCTTTATCTCTTCCAGTATACTTATACCTTTTTCTACTTATATTTAGAGCAACCCTCCCAACCTGAAATTGTAAACAAAGCACCATATCTCGAAACAGAGCAGCTAAAAAAGGTGAGAACTTGTTTATATTATTGGCTTTACCCAATTTATGTGCTCCTAGATGCCCAGATAAACAGGATGCACTTGTTTTTATGAAGTTTTCAGTGCTTCAGGTCAAATCAGAGAGCACAGGAAGTCACAGTAACAGTGTGAGCACTGTCTGTTTGATCAAGACAATAGGCATGTGAAGGAGATATGGTCATTTATCCAGAAGAGCCTTTCTGATGTGGATGGACCAAATACTTGATAGAATCAGTGAAGAGCAAGTGGATTTCCTCCAGGCCAACCTTGAGAAAAGCTTTCCAACTAAATGAAATCATAGGGTGTGAAGAGTGTGGTCTGTCTGGTAAACATCAATTTTTGGTGTTTCAGAAATTTGGGGTGCTAAAGTTCAAGGCAAGAGAGCACTAGGAGATAAATCTGGAGAGGTAAAAAGTTCCCAGATGAATCAAGACTTATGTAATATTTAGACTTTATTCTATTAAAGTAAGTTACTGTAGGTTTGAAGTACGTGGTGAGAGAAGACAAACACAATCACATTGTCACAGGTGTGAAAGAAAGTGGAATTTATAGGCAGGCACAAATGGAGTTCCACACATAAGCACATCAATTAGGTAATAATCTCATCATCATTAATCAAAATACTTCAATATTCCCTTGTGTTTGTGAGGGTGGGTAAGATCAAGGTTTTTTTAACCCTATTTAATTTTACTACCCAGTGTTTGATAAATGTTGAATAATTGAGTTAAAATGCACTTGAAGACTGAACTAAGGATTATAGAATATGGCAAGTATTTATCCCGTGAAATGAAAATGGAATTGGAGAGGTGCCACATTTTAACACTAAATGTTTCTTGCACTTAGAGATCTATGAACCACAACAATAATCAATATTAATATAGTTATAATGTCATTTAGTTAATATTAAAAATGAATAGCATCAAAATGAAATTGGTAGTGCCTTTAAATGGATATGATTTTATGTATAGTGGAAAGCTTTATTGTACATTTCAAAATAGGTAAGACTGTAATTTTTAATACAAAGCATTATTTTTATACAAGATTCAAAGTATGTTTCTTAACCAAAGGTGGAAAATAAATTGTTTAAGATACTTCATTTCTTGAAGATTTTGAGGCTTCCATAAAATAAGGATTAAAACCATTTGAAATGAAGAAATTTTCTTTTGCATTTTTCAGTTAGGTGACTGCATTTCAAGAGACAGTTACCCAGATGGCAACATCACATGGTACAAGAATGGGAAAGTTCTGCAACCCCTTATAGGAGGTGAGTCTGTGTCAGGCAATGGGTTCCCATGGCCTTTCGTATATTGTATAGACTGGTCATTCAATGAACTGTCCAGAATTGATCATGCTGTCCCCTTCTCTATCTACAACTCTACACTTCAGTTACACTAAGTGCCCCTTCACTCATTGGGTGATCTCTTTAGACACCATTTTATCCGTTGTATGGAAGAATCAGAAGCAGAAAGCAGTATTTCTATATATGGCATGTTCTAGAAGTTAATTAAATTGAGTGGGAGATAGGATTTTGGGATTCTATTTTTGCCTATGCCTCTGATTCACAGTTTTGAAATGACATCTTACCTTATTGAGTGTCAATTTTCTCTCCTACTAAATACAATTAGAAGGACAAATTCACCTCTCAAATATGTTGGAATATTTAATTATGGATTGTGGCTTTCCAGTGAAACATCTTATCATTGATGTTCTTTACTTTCTTTAGAGGTGGTCATACTTTTTAAAAAGGAAATTGATCCAGTTACTCAGTTGTACACTATGACTTCATCCTTGGAGTATAAGACAACCAAGGCTGACATACAAATGCCATTCACCTGTTCTGTGACATATTATGGGCCCTCAGGCCAGAAGACAATTCATTCAGAGCAAGTAGTCTTCGATATTTACTGTAAGTAACTGAATATACAGTTGTGTAATTGTAATATATTAGAAACAATATTCAAATTTTAATCTTTGAAATCCTGATTCAATTCCTCTTAATATTCTGCTGTCAAACTTTGATATACAAGTAATCCCCTCTTCCTTGGAAAACCTATAGAAAAAAATACTTACCACTTAACAATATACTCTACTTCACATATTATTTATATCTATTCTGTACTCTATGAGGTGTTACATTCTTTAAAGATTTGATCTCTAACTTGACCAATTCTCTCTAGTACTCTCCAGTCATAGCATATTACCATGTTCCTAATGCCTTCTGACCATTTCCTTAAAAAATGATGGACAAATACTACCTTATGACTGGCTAGCTTCCTAAGTTTAAAACTGGGAAAGTGAGTATTAAGACTTGGGAAATTGGCTTCAGGAGGAACTTGTATGTATGTGAGTACCAGGTATAAAGGTGGATGCATGAGAATGACACAATAATACCATATATGTATGGAGTATTTGCAATGAGAAGACAACATAGGCGCTATAGAAACTCTTGATAATGACACAAAGTAGTTCATTCAAAGAGGTTCTTCTTCCAACTAAGAATCAAGACATCAAAAGGAAATTGACAGTGTGAGGTTGCGAGTGAGAAATGTCATAGGAACAGAATGGTAAGTCATATGTCCCAGGACAGTGATTCTGGAACTGTTGAACACATTAGTTGAATATGACGGAGTTGCTAGGACACAGATTACTGAACATCACTCAAGTAAAAAGATCCAGTGTTGGGGGAGGGATGGAGTGGAAGAGCAGTGAAAGAGATACCTTGATAGAGGGAGACATTGTGGGGTTAGGGAGAAACCTGGTGCTAGGGAAATTCCTAGGAATCCACAAGAATGACTCCAGCTAAGACTCCTACCAGTAGTAGAGAGGGTGTCTAAACTGGCCTTGCCCTGTAATCAGATTGGTGACTATCTTAACTGTCATCATAGAACCTTCATCCATTAATTGATGGAAGCAGATGCAGAGATTCACAGCCAAGTACCAGGCCAAGCTCCTGGAGTCCAGTTGAAGAGAGGGAAGAGGGATTATTTGAGCAACAGGGGTCAAGGTCATGATGGAGAAACCCACAGAGACAGCTGACCTGAGTTAGTGGTAGTTCAAGGACTCTAGACCAACAGCTGGAGAGCCTGCATGGGACCAAACTAGGCCCCCTGCATGTGGATAACAGTTGTGTAGCTTGGTCTGTTTGTGAGACCCCTGGCAATGGGACCAGGATCTATCCCTGGTGCATGACCTGGCTTTTTGGAACCCATTGCCTATGGTGGGATGCCTTGCTCAGCCTTGATGCGGGGATGAGGGGCTTGGTCCTGCCTCCATTTGACATGCCAGGCTTTGTTGACTCCCCATGGGAGGTCTTACCCATTCTGAGGAGTGGATGGGTGGTGGGATGAGGGGAAGGTCGGGGGTGGGGGGATGGAGGGAGGAGTAGGAGGAGGGGAGGGAAGGGGAACTGCAGTTGGTATGTAAAATGAAAAAATAAATAAAAAGAGGTGCTTCACAGTGCATTACAAAAATGATATATTAATATTATTACTGGTAATCTGTAGAGCATATATGGAAAACCACTGCCGTAGGGAGACTAGAGACAGAGCAAAATGATAGAAGAGGACATTCAAGAAAGAGAACTGGATGAAAGAATTCAACTTGAGAGAGCCTGAGAAAGAAGTATTAGTCCTCCCCTCTCGTTTTTATGTTCACCTGATTTCTGCCCCTGGTGCTCACTTCACACAACCATTCCCAGTTCCCTGTACTTCCTGCAGTGATCACCAAAATGGTATTCCTGACTACTCGTCTTTCTCTCCTCACCCTAAACACACTGCTCCTCAGGCTGCCATCAGAAGTCTCTTTCTAAAACTTAAATCTGCAGCATTCCTACTGTGACTGAACTTCTTCACTGACACCTCGGGATGCTCAGATTCATCGTCTTCATGTTCTAGGCTGCTGTATTATCAAACCTGTTTCAGCCACAGTCACGCACTATGTGTCAACCTTCATCATCACACTTTACACACTGCACTCTTTTCTACTGTTCACATTCCTCTGGGAGAATACAATTCTTATGCCTGCCTGTGTGTTCTCTTTACCTTGCCTTTATTATCTGGCAAGCCCCTACTTATTCTTTAAAACAGGTCTGGAGGAGAATCCTTTTGGAAGCTACCCAGGCTTGCACATCTATCTAGGTTTTACCTTTTGTGCCATGTGTAATGTAATAGTCTGAATGGTTAAATTTGTTTTTCTCATAAATAGAGAAAATTCACTGAAGCGAGAAGCACAGTATTTTCAGCTTTATGATCCTTGCACACTACTTAAATAATATTCATGCTAAACTAATAAATCTTTGACTGGGTAGAAGGATAAGTGAACAAATAGGTGTGGGGGGGAAAAATGAATAGACTAATTTGGTAAAATGGTGAAATATAACATCTCATTTGATGTAAATTCTAGATAACCATGTATAGTAAGTTATGGAATACGCATTTCAAATGTTTATGTGTAGGAAATGTATGAAGGATGTTGAATATCCTTATAATAGTCAAAAGATTATCTTAGAAAACAGTTATGAAAGTGTTGAAAGGGAAAGGAGGGCTCAAGGTGAGGGAGCAAATGAGACGTGATAGTACTATTTCTGATGTAGGTTAATTAGGGCATAGACTAGGAAAATATTAAGTGTGAGTAGAAGGGGAGAATCAAACGTAAGATATAGCAAAGCATTCAGCACTGAGAATCGGTACTAGAGTGGATTAGAGGAGGTAGAGCAGAAAGAATAATGGGAAGAATGATGACTTATTAATAAGCAGAATGACATCCAGAGTCTGAGGCAGAGGGACTTGAACAAGTGGTCATCAATTTGTTAGGCATGGGAGTGGCCCAGAAAGCTCCTGTAAAAATGCAAATGTGTTAAAACAATCCTCTGATCACACTTTAGTCCTTCACCTCTCTAGTATGGAATACATTGAAAAGGATTGCAGAGAAGGGACACAGACATAGAAGAAGTTAGACAGGTCCTGGTCCTGGCTGTCCTAGTGTCAGCCTTGATCAGAGATGGGCCGCTGTTCCTTTCGGAGAAAGGGCCACGTCAAAGTGTGAACCTGACACACATTACCAAAAGAGTCATGATGAATCCCACTGTTTCTTGCAACTGAGGTATACTAACAAATAATGGAAATGGAAAAAAGAAAGAGAAGGGAGGGGCACGGGACGAAAACCCAGAAATGGTGGCTGTCAGTGGGATGTCAAAAGCGAGCTTTATTCTCTTTTTCCACTCTACTGAGAACTGCTGGTTGGAGAACTACCTGTAACAAATCCAGAAATAAACACATGCAACAAACTGAAAGCAGCGTGTGAATCTCGCTGTTCAGTCTCGGGATTTGGTGATACTCAGACATTCACATGTAGATCAGTGTCAGAGAAGCAATCTAAAACAATCTTTCTAAATTTTCCTGTGCATTTAATTTAATGACTGCAAGAAATGTGGCGTGGAGGGCTTCTCAAACTACAACTTTTTAGTTTCACTTTATTAGCTAATAATAAAATAGGTATTTGTAGCTTGAGTATTCTGTTCATAAATTTTAAAAGTCAGATAACTCAATCATTGCTCATTTTTGTCTATCTTCCTCAAAATTCCTCCTTTTTGGCATTATTCAGCTATGTAAAGCATGGTTGTTAGAAAAAATTGTTTGTAAAGCCAACATCACTTCCTTTTACTTTCCATTTACTAGACAATGATCCATTGTGTGCAGCATTTAATTCACTTGGCATTCGAGTGTTGAGTAGTCCTATGTATTAAAAAAAATACTCAATACCTCTATTTTATCTGCAAAAATGAACCAATGTGTAATGAAGTTATATCATGTCTTGTTTTAAAGAACAGAATAAAATGACAACAACATTTATGGTCCTGATGACTATATAACAATCTCAATCTCTGTCCTTTACTATCTCTGTCTGTCTTATCTCTCCATGTGTCTATCTGTGTGTTCATGGAATTAATTTTTTAAAGTAGATCTATCTGCCTGTGTGCCAAAAACACTGCTGGTGTTGTTTAGCTCATGTATCTTCATTTGACTTTCATTATTGTATAGTAAGGGTGTGATGGTATCCAGCAGCTTTAGTGACTTTGCTACCCAATTGAGTCTTTCTAAGCTATAAGCTTCATATAACACCATTCAATTTCCTTATAATGAAGTCACACGGTGAGATTGTTCTACTGGTCTTTTACACATAAAATAATTACAGTCATTGCCACCTCAGTTAAAGACATTTTGCTGAGAAGAAATTGATTTTTTTTTTTTTTATGTAACAGGGTTCTTTGTAGTTTGCTCTAACTAAGATTAGTACTTGGTATAGCAAGTGGCTATTAACTTCAATCCCTCTATAAAAAGATACATTTAAGTAATTACCATTACTAGCTTCTTGAGAAAATTGTGTATAATTTAGTCATTTACATTGTATGCACAGAGTAATTTGGTACTTGACAAAAATGGTTAACTTCTGCTTGTGACTCTTGCAGATCCTACTGAGCAGGTGACAATACAAGTGCTACCACCAAAGAATGCCATCAAAGAAGGAGACAACATCACTCTCCAGTGCTTGGGGAATGGCAACCCGCCTCCTGAGGAGTTCATGTTTTACTTACCAGTAAGTGCCTAAGCATTAGTTGAACTTGACGACTATCATTTTTGTCCTATTGTCTGGCTTCTAACTGACGTGAACACTTGCATGAACTTGAGTAGCTTAAGAGAGAAAAACGGGTGATTCTTGAGAATCAAAAAAAATCAAAACACCACCAGTTTTTTGAAACACGTCCGTGGAAAGCTTCTGTGGTACCATCCCCTGTTCTTTCTGCTTTTCCTCCGTGTTTAGAGAGTTCAGCGATAAAGAGGAAAAAGGGGGCAACCACAGGAAACCGTAACTGCAAAAAACTCAGGGTATAATTATCCAAGTAAGACACAAAATCTACTCTTCAGAAGTAGATCACAGGGAAATCAAAAGGCATGATTGCAAATGTTCTAATGTGGATGAGGATCCACCCACACAGGCTGCTCTGAACACGCTCAGATCTTTTGAAGCAAAGAGAGTTCTGTCATGCAGTTTAGCTAACTTGGTAGAATAACCGTGTGGGCTCCTTGTCACAGTACTTGTCATAACTGAAAAGAGTGGTCCGCATAGAGGACACTGTGGGAAATTTCCTCAAGTATTTGCATTCTTAGTGATGTGGAGCCTAGGTGGAAGAGTGGTGTGTTTACCACCATCTTACTGAGGAAAGCTAGATGCTGCTAAATAGTGCATTTACTGCAACCATGACATTATAATGAATTTACTCCCAGCATGGCTGGGAGTGTTTCACAATATCACCCACTGCATTACTGAGAACACCTGTACAGGGAACTTCTTGCAAACGTAAATGTTGGCAGGCAGCATTGTTTCCCCTATTAAATTGATGTATTAATATTTTCTCATTTACAAATAAAAGTTCTGAAGCTGGGTTATTGCTTTGGCTACTGGGGACGGCAGAGCCAAACTCATGTTCTGTCTTTAGAAATAATGTCTGCTGGCTGTCTTGGCTGCTGTTGATGGGTGCTCCTCCCGTCTCTCTCCTTGGCCCCCTCGGTTTGCTTTCCTTTCTTTTATTCATTGTCCTCCTTCCTGTTCTTGCTCTTCTATTGCTCTTCATTCTTCTCCCTGCTTCCTTCATATCTGTCTGTCATTGTTATTTTGGTATACGACTAGCTTTCCCGTCTGCTTGTGTGCTTTCTCTCTGTCCCTCTCCTCTCTTCTTCTCTCCCCTCCTCTCTTCTCCGTTTCTCCTCTCAGATCTGCTCTTCTCTTCTTCCTCCCTCTCTTTCTTGCTCTCTCTGTCTTTCTGTCTTTCTTTTTCTCTGTCTGTCTCTGTCTCTTTCTCCCCCCAGCCTCTCTCATACTTGGAATGAAACCAAGTGCCTTGCGCATGCCAGGCCAGCTACATCTCCATTCTCTGGTTCATTGGCTCACTATATAGCTTAGGCTGACCTTGAACTCACTATGTCACTCAGCCTATCCTCAAACTTGCAATCCTCTTGCTCCCAACTTCTGAATGCTTCAAGTATAGGTATGTATCCCAAGACCCAGTTAGAATTTCTCCAGTCTTTTTGTGGATATAGATAAGATATAGGAAAAAATGGACATTAAATAAAAAAAAAAACTGCTTTAAAATTCAAACTCAAGCTATGCTGTCAAAAAATAGATATCATCAATACGATATAAAATAACCCTTCAAAATTTATCACCAAACTATGAATTGTTCCTCAGATGTTTGTAGAACAAATTGCAATCATTTTTGCCTAATCAAGAAGTGTGCTCACTTTTTTCTCATAACTGAGAAAATTGTACCTTCCCCAAGAATTATAATCTTTCTTATTGTAGCTACCAAGTGTAACCATCTGACATTTTGCCTCCATCCAAAGGGACAGCCTGAGGGAATAAGAAGCTCAAACACTTATACACTGACAGATGTGAGGCGCAATGCCACAGGAGACTACAAATGCTCACTGATCGACAAAAAAGGCATGATCGCTTCAACAGCCATCACGGTTCACTGTAAGTCACCTCCTCAGGACCTGCTGCACCTCAAAGGCCTCCGATAATATTACCTAGCTAACTTTTCTAAGTGCAGTCTTATCTTTCTTAAACAACTTGGTTTTCATTCACTCCATAAAAAGCATCAGAAAAAGTTCAAATTCATGTAGGTTACCACTGTGATACTGAATCCTTGCAGGAGTCTGGGAACCACAAACTTGTCAATGGTAAAACCCTTTTTTCTAAATGCCTTCAGCTTCTTGTAACACTAAGTCATTTGGATATGATCCTTAAATAACTCATTATATATTTAAATATATGTACAGAATATATAAATATATATATAATATACATAATTTATTTTATGCAGTTCTGGAGATGGAACCCGGGGCTCTGTACATGCTAAGTAAGCATTCTGCCACTGAGCTACACCCCTAAGCCCTTTTTAGATATTCTTGATATTAACAAGATTTGCATTTTACCAGGAAGAACGTAGATTATATATATCTCAATTTTAAATCACAGGATAATATTAGCACCCACATCCAGGCAACATGAAGTTACTACAGATTCAGCACTGGAAGATGAAGTAGAGGGGACTAAAAGCTAAAAGACAGTAAATTGTTGGAAAGATAACCTCTTCAAAATCACCTTGAGTGACACCTTTTATTAAATTTTAATCTGCTTGGAGAACTCCGGAGACACCAAAATTATATTTAGTCTCAAGTAATATGATGGGGGAAAGAACCATTAAAAACAGCCATGTAGGGGGCTGGAAAGATGGCTTAGTGGTTAAGAGTCCTTCTTGTTCTTGCAGAGGACCTAGGTTCAATTCCTAGCACTCAACTGTCAGCTCACAACTATCTATAACTCTAGTCCCAGAGGATCTAATGCCATCTTCTGACCTCAGAGATCACCAGTCACACACATGTTACACATACATACATGCAGGCAAAACTCTCGTCCACACAAAAGAATAAAATAAAGAAATCTCCAAAAAAAGGAGAAGACCAGCCATGAAACTTGAGTTCTTGATTTTGTAAGTCATGAAAGCTCATATTATTAATATATCAGATGCTTCTTAAAAGTAATGATTTATTTATTTTTATTGACACTGCCACCTGGTAAGAGTAGAATTCATACACTCTTTTGAATAACTGTGGGTCTTGTTTGGGGATGTAGCCTGAATGAACCTTGCACCCAACAGTGTGATCAGAAAGATTTCTCCCAGAAATGATCTGCTGTAACCCTACAGAGCATGAGGTGACTATGTTTTGTTTTGTTTTGATTAAATGAGATTAAGCAGGAGTGAAGAAAGGGAACTAAAGGTCATCAGAGAGGATGGCCTGGATGTCTAGTAAAGGGTCCTCTGCAGCACAGGGACTTAGAGGAACTCAAAACATCTGCAAGCTTTAAGCATGGGACCAAGGCTGTCCACCTTGACCACATTCCCTGTAAGCAAACACCAAGCATTTGTCAAAAAGCATCACTAAGGAACAATACGGAGGACATGGAGTTCCTGTGCAGTCAGAATTTGGTTGTGCAGAGGAAAGAAGAAAGCAAAGTCAAAACACTTTAAAGGAAACTGCCCTAAGCCCATGCTGCTGTGTCCTCTAGCTACAATGCTTGAAAAACATACAAGTGAGGAACTAAAACCTGGAGGGAGACACAGGAGGACTCAATGGGGAATAATACAACCAAATGGTTGCTTTTGATTGTCTGAGGGGCTCTGTGGTAATAGTGAAGGATTGAAATTGTTCACAGCCAAGCCCTTTCTTTGTTTCTTCTGTCCTTGTTGCTCATTGGTCTGAGGGTGTCATCATCAGGTGCTAGTTAGAAGGACAGTAGTGACCTCTAAGTAGAACAAGAATGATGTTTATTTTCCTCCTCTGGGGACCAGTCAGTCATGAGATCATTTATCTAACCTTGTTCTATGATGGAAATTGAAGAAATACAGCCAACAGATACAAGTACCTGTTAATAGTCATGTGACAGCCTTGTCAATCGTATCTTGAGGCTAGTTACCAATATTCCAGTTACTTAGCTATGTGCCTATGTTAAAGAGATGTTGGGTACACAGATACACAGGATCTTAAGAGGAGAGAGCTATTCTGTGTATGGCATGTAGAATAGGCAGGGAGGACTGGACTACAGATCACAAGGAAGAAGACTTGGTGGCAGCCACATCATATCTCAATGATACTCTCTAACAGGAAGGAAAAAAATACAAAATATGGGGGAGGGTAAATGAATTGGGTGCAGTTTATTATTCAAATGTATCCTGATTTTGACAGATTGACTGGAACATTGGTGTTAAGACCTGAATGTCTTCTTTAGAGCTAAAGAATAATTATGCTCATCATTTTATTTTACATTATATGCACACATGAAAATCACATTTTGCCATTTATCTTTGGCTCCTTGTTTCACAAAAGTGGGATTTGTTTCTTTTCATAAACAATTAAACTAAGTGTTGGTGGAGAAACAGGATCCATACATGCACAGGGATGCAGAGCAGACCTCTCAACAAGACCATATTACTACAGATCCTTAGTCACTGTTAAAACAGCTACTATTCCTCTGCCAAATCTGACATAGATTCTTCATCAGACCCTTCAAAGTTGATTTTATCCTTTAAAATCTTGTGTCTTCTCACTGACAAGCTCTTGACTCTACTAATAAAGGCTCTCAAATTTCTCTTATAGTTTTCATGCAAACATAAATCACCCAAACATTCTAATTTAACTGCTTTTATATAAGATGTCACAGATTAATATTAATGTAAACTAGGAGCATGTGTATTCCATCATTCATTTAATAACCGTGCCTAAGAGTCTTGATATACCAGGTCCTGTGGTTATGTCAGAGGAAATCAAGGTGTGGTCATTACTCTCCTGTTTACTGCTTCACAGCAAAGACAACCACTGAGAACCATTGATGGGGTGGGGAGATGCCTGAGTCAGTACACCGCCTACTGCATAATCGTGAGAACTTGAGTTCCAATTACCAGCAATCAAGTAAAAAGCCGTGCCTAGGTAGAAGTCTGCAACCCCAGAACTGGGGAGGAAAAGTAGGGTGGGCAGATGAAGGACCACCAGAGCTCTGAAGCTCATTGTCTCCCCAGTGCACAAAAAATTGTTGAGTTTCAGGTTCATGATTAAAGACTATCTTAAAAAAATAAAAATGGAGAAATATAGGAAGACGGCTGACATTGACATCTGCCCTGTATGTGCACCTACACACAATGCATAACACCAACATACACACGTACACACATACACACACACACACACACACACCAACAAGTATATTACCACATCCATACATCATACACATTTCTTTTAAAAATGACACAGAAAACGATTGGCAGCCTAAAAAAATCATGAAAGAGAGACAAAAAGCACAACTCATCTATAGTTAGATATACAGTCTATGAGTTACGACCATCAGTACTAAATCATTCAACATTGAGCAGCCTGATGAGTTCTCTCAATTTTTTATTTTGTCCATATGGAAAGGTTTATGCTATGTCCCCACGTACCAAAGCATTTAGTTGTCAAGAGGCTACAACAATGTAGTGTCTTGTACAAAGCCTTTCTGCTTTGAAACCCAGTTTGATTTTTCTTCTCTTTACTCCTGCAAGTCTTTCCTTATGCTATGGCTTAGTATTTCAACAAGTAATTACTGATATCTGAATGTGTAATAGATTTGATACTAGGGTCTGACTTTGTAGGTAGTGCACTGACTTGGAGTGCATAGTGCCTCCACCTCCATCATCATGGATGGATCTCCCATTAGTGCCTAGAACATAGTAGCTGTATGACAATATTTGTTCCATTGAGCTGAATTTTCTTCCTACACATCACATTGTAAGTTTTATATTTAAAAAATCATTTTTTACCTGAAAGGCTCTACATCCTTAGACATGCTTATCCTGTGCATTTTTAAAATTATCTGTTGAAAATGTACCTAATAATAGGTCTTATTCAAAATTTCAACTGCATGGAAAATGGAATAGTATTTCAAAAATAATTCAATTATTTGTCAATTTTCTCTGAAGAAACATCTGCACTATCTCATAGTTTTTCCATTTATCACCTGCTGTCTAAATATATGTGATTTTCCAATGCAATGCCTTATCAACGGCTTTTTATATTTACCTACTCATTTTTATTTCCTTCCTGAAGTGAGTTGATTTTTTTTTCTTAAGGTGATAGGTCTCAAAAAGAAATATTTGTAGGCACCCCCAACATCAATTATGTTAACTGAAAATCAATGCATAATCAGTTAGATTGACCATATGCTTGTTCAAGTGGCCATCAGTGCTAGCTTGTAAGGCTAAGCTGAATCTTCTGGAGTCTAGCTGTTTTACTCCATAGAAGTGAGTTCTGATACTCAAGCACAGTTGGAAAAAAAAATGTTGTTGTTTGTTTGTTTGTTTGTTTTATGTTTCCTATCTTGCTTCCTTGTAGTTTTCATTTCAAGCAGATTTTTCTGTCTCACAGATTTGGATTTATCCTTAAACCCAAGTGGGGAAGTGACCAAGCAGATCGGTGATGCTCTACCTGTGTCATGCACAATATCCGCTAGTAAGAATGCGACTGTGGTGTGGACGAAAGTAAGTTCAGGCCTTTGCTGCTGTCCTGCTGCTTAGAAGGAGTTCTTTCAGTGCCTTGCGTCTTTTGTTTTACATTCTAGAATGCATATTCGTGCTTGCCTTGTATGCTCACATCCATGTGCTCTTCCACTCCTTTCCTCTCCAGTGTTGGTCAAACCACAGTAAAACTGTAGAGGCACTCAGCCTCACTGCGGCATCGTTAATGGATGGGCTGGAACTTAGTGTGGTGCATTGCTTTATGATTATATAATGAAAAGTGATCCACACATGCATGCGCACACACAAGCACATGCAATTATGTACTTTGAGGATAAAGCTTTTAGAGTCCATTTTAACTGCCGTTATTCTGACATCCTGCTTGTGAATCTCTATGAAAAATGCAGCTCGTTCACTATTTTTTCACATCATGTATAATGAAATCCAGGCCGATAAATCAGAAAATTCACAAGTGAGAATAGGGGCTCGAGCTCAGGCTTTCTGGAGTATGAATGGCCCCAACATTTTTGCCTCCCCTTTGGTGTTGAGACAACTTTTCAGTCTCTAATAGCAGGTCCTTATGAATGATGAACTCTTTGATGCTAAGTAGCTCTTTCACTTCTAGACCTTAGGAAGCAACTAGAACATTCTGTGATCTTGCTTCCGGTCTCCTGTATGAGCTCACGTAGTCATATAACTCTAAAATAAAGACTGTGACGTGGGGCCCAGTCATTTCTACATTTACAGAATTGGAAAGGAGGGTATATAGTTGGTGCTTTGAGTCAAGCTTGTCCTTAAAACAGAAGTCTATGAATGGTATGAATATGGTACCACTGCTTACATCTTTGGCTTGTGTTTCCCAACACTCATAGTGTAGCATGGACAGGGGCAGCTAACCAGTGGTATTCTGAGAAAATAAATATTCACATTGTTTGAAACAGGGGATGAAAGTATCTTTTTTTTTTTTTGGTTTTTCACAATCATGCAGAAATTTTCTTAGTAGGACTTCTTGACAAAATATTATTGTATAATGCTGTTTTCTAGTCTAAATGTTAGATTCTTAGCTGTCTATCTATCTATCATCTATCTATGTATCATCTATCTACCATCTATCTATCTAATCTATCATCTATTATCTATCTATTATCTATCATCTATCTACCATCTATCTATCTATCTATCTATCTATCTATCTATCTATCTATCTGTCTATCTCCTACTTTCCCCCTTTTCTCTCGTCTCTCTGAAACAGGGTCTCACTCACTAGCCTCCAACAAGCTATGTAGACCTGGCTGGCATCCAACTTCTGAGTGCGGGATTAAAGGTGTGCACCTCCACATCCAGCATTCTCTCATTCTTAGAACAGTTCCTTTTACTTTCTCTTAGGCACAATGTTGTTACTGTTTGTTCTTCTCCCAGATGATTACAGTGTTACTCTCCATCATCCTTATTTAACATGTACTAGTTATAGTACTTAATGCTCACAAAGCTAAATAACATATAAGCAAGTGGAATAGTCAATGATTGTACAAACACATATCGTGTGTTTTATTTGAGAAATAAGTCAACTACACTAAACATGAAATGCAGTCACTATAGTTGGTTGAACCCTAATGTCAGTATTGCTAAGCAACATTCTTATATCAACATTAGTTGATGGGAGAATGGGCAAAAGGAAAACCCAGTATATAAAGATCTATAATCTTAGAATTTTGGCTTATTAACTGCTTTTCGATTTCAATTCCAAAAAAAATATGATTATATTCTGATGTCAAGTAACTTTTTAAAAGATTAAGTATTTTTTCTTTGTAGAAATTAGAATAATAAAGTTTTCTTACTAATTGAATTTTTTCATAGTTTTTGTCATTTTATAGTGAGATCCCAGTGTTGATAGACACTGAGATCAAATAAGTCTTGAGCATTTATGCCTACCGCTGTTTAGATTCCATGAATTTCTTATGAAACAGTCCTAACACAATAAGTAGGGACTGACAATTGAGACTTTTACTCAATAAAACCCATTTTTCTATTCATATAGTTAAATCCTTCAAACAGTGAGATACAATAAGAATAAGACCCCATTTCCCACATAAAAGAAACTCAGTCTCAGAAAATCATGGACTTGTTCCAAATCACCAATGCTAGAACAGGTGACTCTGAACTATAACTCTACTTTGCCTAACTCCTGGACTATGAAGGATAAAAAGATATCTAGTTTTGAAAGCATCTTAAAGGTTTATTTTTTAAGTATATGTATTTACATCAGACCCAGAACAATAACTTTGGACTTAATTATTATAGGACACATATATCTTAAGTCACGATTGTGGGGCTGGAGAGATAGTTCAGGGAGGAAGAACTCACTCCCTCCAGTCAACACATGAGGACCTTGTGTGAATCCCCAGCACCCACCAAATATTACTGTGTGTCTGAAACTCCAGCATTGGAATTCAGAAACAGACTGAGTCCAAGAGCTCCTGAGCCAGCCAGCCTAGCCAAAACGCAAGCTTCTGCTTCAGTTAAATACCCAATCTCAAGGCAATAAGACAGATGGTTAGAGGAGGAGAAGAGATGGCCTGCACTCATACAGAGGTGTAGTCATCCACACACCCAGGTACATGCACCACACACACACACACACACACACACACACACACACACACACACACACACCCCTATCATGCACAGTGATTAAAAATATAAAACAATGAAAACAGAAGTTGTGGCCTCTGAAGTAATGTGCTCTGCGTTTAACCAGGATAACATCAGGCTCCGATCAAGCCCATCGTTTTCTAGCCTTCATTATCAGGATGCTGGGAACTACGTCTGCGAAACTGCTCTTCAGGAGGTGGAAGGACTGAAGAAAAGGGAGTCACTGACACTCATTGTAGAAGGTATGAAATGATGTAGCTGCAGTTTTTTTCTTTAAGAACTTGGTATCTGGTTTCTTTTGATATTTCAGCTGTAATGTTTCAATTGTCATACTATTTTAGGAAAACCCCAAATCAAAATGACAAAGAAAACTGACCCCAGCGGACTGTCAAAAACCATAATCTGCCATGTGGAAGGGTTTCCAAAACCAGCGATACAGTGGACCATTACCGGAAGTGGAAGCGTCATAAACCAAGCAAGTGGTTTTTGTTTTTTTTTTTCCCTCTGTGCTGCTCCTGCTCCCAAGCTGAGTTTTATTTAGGTAACTGAAGTGTAGGCTGGTGTGGTTAGCACACGGAATGTGCATCCTATGCTCAGAGAAAGTGCTTGCTGACATCTTAATTTTCTTGGAAGGAGAACATGCCTCAAAGAACACATTTAAATTCCAGGCCCATGGAAAATATCAAAACCACCGTGTTATGGTGTCTGCTTTTAAAAAGAATTAAAATTGGATGTTTCTCCATGGTCATTAATTCCTGAGACATGGATAATTAAATCATTAAGGTATATACTTTTCTGCACCATAAACTTATATGTTACAGTATAAGTAGCCTCTATTACTTTTCCTGTTTACACATGTTTAAAGGATATAGCTTATTGAATCTGGACCCCAGGGGTAGTGACCAACATAGTCACTGCTTGGAAACACGTGGTCCAGTTTGCTTGTTACAGGGCTAGGACCAGAACAAGGATGCCCAAGTGTAAAATCTAGGTTGTGCCCTCCTGGACAATAGAGGACATTAATCTAATAGACAATGTATCTATTAATCTAAACTTAATATCTGTAGTCTTGGTAGGATACTTCAGTAGCCACAAAGGTTTTCAATTTATAAATGCTGTGAGTATTTTCTTCTTCATACAAGTCAGACACAGAAAGAGAGAGACAGAGAGACAATGAGACAGAGAGAACAGCCTATTGCTAAGGGTTCAGAACTTTAATCCCACTAATTAATCTCTTTGGGGTACTACTCTAACATTAGTTACATTTTTCCCTATAGCAGTCCTCAAGTCTGCTTAGATCATTAGAACCAGTTAAAGAGCCACAGGACATGGGCTCTCCATTTAAGGATTCAGCAGACACATATAAAGCAAAAAGATGCAAATTAATTTTAGGTTGAGAACTCCGCATTCCCCTGTGGAGAAGTGAGCCACTGGTTCAGCTCATATAATATCATTTGCTAAGCATGGTGGATCTGGGCTCTTGCCTGTGAGTCATAGAAATACATTTGCATATGTTCAAGCACAGAGAGCCCTCGGAGTGGTCACGCTTGAAGCCAATAACTCCTGACTGGATTAAATACATTTTGAGACACCCAAGTAAAAAGACCATGCTTAGGAAGGCAGAGAGGCAAGGAGACCGTCAAGCCTGAGAAGATGCATGCTTCTCTATTCAGAATAAAGACCTGAATTGCTGACAATGTGCAGAAGTACTTTTTAGAATCAAATGCTAAAAGTAAAATGCTAAAAGAATAGAAACGTTTCCTTTCTACTTTACTTTTTTCTCTCTATATCTCTAGTTCAGTTAAGTGCCATTGAAAAAGAACCTGTAGGTATTGGTAATGCTGACATGGAAAGCAGAGAAAAGGGAAGAAAAGCACACATATAAATGAATAGAACAATGAAAAAGGCCAGGCTAGAAATCAGAAAGTATATTTTGTAGAGATTGAAGTAGCAAGCACAAAGACTCAGGGAAATAGCAGGCACACTTACCGCAGTGATAGAAATAATAATGCCATTCTTCATTGTCATAGAGAAGGTTGAGTCTGGCCTCAGGGACAATATGTTAGTTTTCTTGTTAAGGGTCTGAGATGATCTATCCATAAAATTTTATTTGTTCTCCCCTCCAAGGCATGACGAATCTACCAGTGTACAGCCATGAGGGAGCTCCCAGGGAGCAGAGGCAAACACACTCTCATCCTCAAGACAGTTACAGTATAGTTAGAATAAAACCAAGAGAGAAGAACATGGGACAGAGTGCAAGTTAGTGACCAAGAAAAGGCTCTGAATGCAAGCTAGCTTGAGTTGTGTTACATTTGTGTCTAATCCCAAGAGTGACCCAATTACATTTTTTGGAATTTTAAATCCTTTTAAAAGATTTTTTGTGGGGTTAGGCAGTATGTATACTTTTTTCTTTTTTCCCTATTTTTATTGAAAATGGATTTTTTCATGTAATATATTCTGATCACAGTTCTGCACTTTCCCCTCCCCAACTCCTCCCAGATTCTCCCACCTCCACTTCCACTGAAATCTACACCCTTGCTTTCTCTCTCATTTGAAAACAAACAGGCATTTAAAAAATAACAATAAAATAAAATGACATAAGATAGAATAAAAACAAACAAGCTGGAATTGGACAAAACAAATGACAGAAAAAGCACAAGAACCATACATAAATGCAGAGGCCTGAGTTCTTGCTGCAGAGATCCCATAAACACACATCAGAAACCAAAGCATGTCTACAAAAAACCTGCCAATTTTTTTAAAGAGACCTCAAAAAAAAAAAAAAAAACCACAAGATACAGATCTAAACAGAGAATCCTCAAAAGATTAAATGCAAATGGCTGAAAAACACTTAAAGAAATATTCTTCATCCTTAACCATCAGAGAAATACAAATCAAAACTACTGCATTGTTTCCTATGTGTGAAGGTCTCACATCCAGAGGTGCTTCCATTTGTGCCTCGGGACTGTCAAATGTATTTAACCTAAGTCATCATTAAAGGAGCCACTTTTTTTATTTAGCACAGGAAAATTCTGAAAGAAACAAATGGTTTTATTTACCCATAAACAGATCTTACATTCCTTGCACATTGGTATAACATTTCAAGGTAAGAGAATAGATGCCCACTGCAAAGAATTAAGATAATAGAATAGATGTCTACAGCAAAAAGCATTGAGCCTTATTCACAGATAATTAAATGCTAATATTCACTGAAGGGAAACTGGTGATTATAATGACTAATAACATGCTTTGAAATAAGTATCATGGGAAAAGTTTGAAACTGAGCATTTATCGAAAAAGAAAAGTTTGATTGATGTATCAAAATTCCCAAGAGAATCATAGACACACAAATGCCATTATTGCTTTACTGATCTCTTCTCTGCCCTCCGTAAAGCTGTGGACGACCTGGATGGTCCTTATCTGTAGTTCCCATACATCCTTAAAAACAGAAAGTAGGACATCACACCTTCCCTGTGTCATCTATCACTATTCTTTCCCAGACTTGTAAAATGCATTTCCACTTCTAAACTCATCTTCCTTCTTCTTCCAGACAGAGGAGTCTCCTTATATCAATGGCAGGTATTATAGTAAAATTATCATTTCCCCCGAGGAGAATGTTACATTAACTTGCACAGCAGAAAACCAACTGGAGAGAACAGTAAACTCCCTGAATGTCTCTGCGAGTGAGTATTTCATTTCTGCCATTAAAACCGTAAGAAAATTTGAAGTTATTCTTCATTAGCTTAACATCTTCAGTCCCATCTCCCTGTACTGCATCATGGTAAGTTTCATGCATTTGTTTCACATTTGATACCATCACCATGAGGTTATTTTTCTTTTCTTCCTGGTTTCCATTCTTCTCCTATCCCTGTTTTCACAGTTTAAGTCACTTCGTATGTTAGGACTCAGACACTTTCCCCTATGGTAGGAATCCTCCCAAAAGCAAGGAAGAATAAGAAATGGGTTGCTTGTGTTTAATCCATATTATGGATCCAAAGTCAGATAATTCAATGGTTATCTTAAAATACGTTTATAAAAGGTACACATTTGACACATTTTTAATTCAACTATTAGTTTGCATTACAATTTATTGTATTTTTGTCCTACCCTTACATAACACAGAAATGCCCTAAATTTGCCCAATTAACAAATTAGTAGTAAAAAAGATATGAGAATTAACGAAATCAGCATACAAAAGTTTCCCTTCTCTTATCAGTTTTGAATCATAATGAAAATAGATGAAATTATCTTAGAGAAATTTGAAGAATCTGTCAATATTGAAATCCTAGTTTATATGTTTCTGGAGGAGAGAAAACATTTTGAAAAATATGATTTATTGGAAAATTAGACATTTTCAATTCTGTTACTATTCCTGTTGCTATGTTACTATGGCAACCTTAAATCAGGATTGGCCTAGAGTAAGGTTCACTTTTAGACAGTATGTTAGCTGACCTGCTGCCAAATGTTTATTTCTTGATCAGTTGGAATCCTTGCATTAGTATGTTATGAATATAATAGCTAGGAATTTATGGGATGAAACAATTTTCAAAAGATAATGGCCTCTAACAGATGGACTAGAATGTAAAGTCCCAATGTATTAGCTGGAAAACAAAACTAAACAAAATTAAAATACAGTCATTGACTTCTCACAAAGCAATTCCATGAGTATTGATTTGTACTACCTAGAGAGAATTCATCCTTTCTCTTTTCTTTTTTTAGCCAAACAGATCTTTTTAACACTAATCTATTGGATGAGGTACTTCAGCTTTCTCAGTATTTAAAACAGTCATTTCAAACTTTGTACTTTCTGAGTACTTAAGATGAGGAATGTAGGACTTGGAATTTTACCTAACATCATGGAGAATTCTGATGCGGACTCGTGCACACTGAAGAATGCTTATGTAATTTAATGATAACCCACAAGAGCACTGAGTTTTAACCAGACTAAGATCATAACACAATCAGAAACCTGGAAGTCTGGCAAACATCAGATAGGGCAGGGTGATGTTTAATGTATTGAGTACCACATTTATAACCTCAACCCCAGCTCCTGCTTTGAGAACATAACTAATAGTGTCCTTGATACTAGCAAATGAAAATGAATTCTCACTGGGCGGTGGTGGCACACCTTTAATCCCAGCACTGGGGAGGCAGAGCCAGGTGAATCTCTGTGAGTTCGAGGCCAGCCTAGTCTACAGCTCAAGATCCAGGACAGGCACCAAAACTACACAGAGAAACCTTGTCTCAAAAAAAAAAAATGAATTCTTCTAAATAGGGGCAGAAAAAGTTGAGCACAGTTGAGAAACACAGCATTGTAGACTTCATAGAGGCCAACTTGTTTCTCCTAAAAAGAAGTTCTAGTGAAAGATACCCACAGTCGGAAATTAATATCAATTTTAGATAAATACTGTAGCTTATTGGTTGTAAATGTTCTCTAATAGATTAAAATATTTGCAATTGAACTACTCTCCTTAAAACAAGATTAATTCCTTTGTAGGGAAGTTCTTACTCTGTAAAGTATGGTTTTCCTTTTCTTTATCCTTAGTTCTAGAATAGCTGTTTTATCTAAATATTATTACATCATACAATAATGGTAAAGGTGACTTTCATTTATCAACAAATTTTGTTTTTAATTTCATATTAACATTTTTCATTTCAGTAAGTATTCCAGAACACGATGAGGCAGACGATATAAGTGGTAGGTACTATACTGTAGACTCCTCTTCCTTGACTGTCAGCTCAAGATTTATGAAGTGTCCTTGTCTGAGTGATTTTCTTAGCTGTCCAAAATTTGACTTGAATTACAATACCAAATGAGACAAGATAGTCAAAATTCTGAAAATTTTACCCTTTAAAATCACAAGTTTGCATGTCAATCATCATAGTGAGCCTTTCTCATCATTATTGAGTTAAAACTACACCAGCTTCGTTTGAAACGCCTTAGCACTGGCTGTAATTGCACGGACTTTTCTTCTTTGTTGTAGATGAAAACAGAGAAAAGGTGAATGACCAGGCAAAGCTAATTGTGGGAATTGTAGTTGGTCTCCTCCTCGCGGCCCTCGTGGCTGGTGTCGTCTACTGGCTGTACATGAAAAAATCAAAGTAAGTGGTAGGAAAAGGCTCTTGCTGTTCACAGCCTCCGAATTGGATAGATCCAATGTGCTGACTGTGTTTCTCCCTGCTGTGGGTGTAATTTCTATAATAATACAAACACATCATCAAATTGGGCATATCATGTTTTGTTTCACTTCACAGTGACTACAGGAGCGACATTAGGGATGTGGCCTGGGGTGTGCTTGTGTTGATTCTTTTTCTTTTTCTTTTTCTTTTTTTTCTTTTTTTTTTTTTTTTTTTTTTTTCCGAGACAGGGTTTCTCTGCGTAGTTTTGGTGCCTGTCCTGGATCTCACTCTGTAGCCCAGGCTGACCTTGAACTCACAGAGATCTGCCTAGCTCTGCCTCCCAAGTGCTGGGATTAAAGGCGTGCTCTACTACCGCCCGGCCTTAGTTGACATTCTAAATGCAAGTATTTTTGTTATTGTTGCTTTCTGCTTGGGTAGATTTTTTTTTTAAGCACATACTGCCTAAATGGAAAACATTCTAAGGTTTTTGTTTGAAGTTGATGAAGATTAGTTAAAAGAATCTACATATTTCAGGAACTGTAAATTGACTGAGTAGTGTCTGATCTGACCATAAATAAAATTGCCACTGAAATGAGGATATCTCCCTCTATTCTAATTAAGGGACTTTATTCCATGTAAGGATCTAATTAAAAGGTAGAAAAAAATCATTACTTTGGCCTTAATGAAAACATTGATTAGACAAAGTACTACAAATGCATTTAAAACACTTTATATAAGGTTAGGTTAAAAAAAAAAATGATTGGGCCGGGCGGTGGTGGCACACACCTTTAATCCCAGCACTCGGGAGGCAGAGGCAGACGGATCTCTGTGAGTTCGAGGCCAGCCTGGTCTACAGAGCGAGATCCAGGAAAGGCACAAAGCTACACGGAGAAACCCTGTCTCGAAAAACCAAAAAAAAAAAAAAAAAAAAATGATTGGAATTATAAAGTAGTACATGCAAGATGAACCTTGAAGATCTTCTAACATTGGTTATACTGAATATGGCTAAGCTAATGAAGATTATCAGTAAGTACCCCTTAAGTACACCAGTCACTCCTTATCAGTCAAGATTAAGATGCATATAATTTACATAAGACAGACACATCCCTCAAATTAGGCTGATGGCATTATGTGTAAGTTCACAGTGACTACATTGTCAGCACAGGGGGAAATAGGAGTCTGGCAATTTGCATGTTTTGAAAGTCCCATTGGTAACTCTAGGCCCCACTCCTGGTTTCAAACAAAGGCTTTAAAATAATATCTTATAAGTGAATAAACTGTTTTTACAACAGAATATCTGTAGCTAGTACCAACCTGAAACATAATTTTATGCTTTCACTCTGTCTGAGTTAATTCCTCCAAAAATTCAAGAAATATATCTTACTAAGAGAAAGTTGAAAGATAAAGTAAGCTCAAACCTATGATCATAATCTTACCCTATGAACATGTAGAGATCTGTGTGGAGTTCCCTGGGAGGAGGCACAGCTGAAAAATGTAGAAGTTACAAAGCATGATAACCATATATTGACCTTTAGTTCACAGCACATCTGCAAAGTAGACACCATTGTTATTCATATTTTACCTTTGAAAGAGACTTTCTTGTGGTGACTAATTATAGTGGACAGAATTATTTGTCTTAAAGGCATGATAACTGCGCCTTACTATATCTCATGATGTTTTGCTGTCCTTTTTCCATTAAAAGTTTTCTGTTGTGTTTGTGACTGATATGCATGATGTCCATTTCCATATGGGGGACACAGTCACTCCTTTTTATACAGTAAGATGAATTTCAAGTCCTAAGAGAACTCTTAACATTTTAATCATACTATGTTAATGGCCAGTATCTCATCAGACATCAAACGTTCTATGAATAAAAGAAATGTGTCTGTGTGTTACATTAACTGCTATCATATAGCAACCAAAAATTCAAATCACAGATAAATAAATGCTGGACACTTTGTTTAATAATGTCATTAGGTTAGGCCTCAAGCCTTCCTTTTAAAGTTTGTCATTAAATTAAAGGACAGTCTTACATGTGACTGCTACTTAATTGAAAAGTGTGCCAAATTTGGTGGACTTATTGGTAATCAATCACTTATTGGTAACTGCAGCGCTCATCATCTCAACTATCAGAGACTTTTATGAAGAATGTGTGGGGTGCTTCGGATTTCTAAATGCAGTTAATCCCTTGCCTGAGCCTCTACAATAAGCTGACATTTGTGCACTGTGAATGAGTGTTTAACCCTTTAAGCCACTGGCAGAGAAAGTTGAGACTCATCATTTCAGTTCAGAATCTCCAAGGCCAGTTTCTGTAATGCAGTTAGTAGAGCAATGGAGTTTTAGCAACATTGGAGGGATGTTCTTTGAATGTGCTATGTTAAACATCATTGGAAAAATAAGAGAAACAATTTTTTTTTTTTTTGTAGAACTGAAGAGTACATTTATTTGCATATTTAGTGTTTTTTTACATATCCCATATAAATTCATGTACATTTTGTTACCTCATCAGTACCACTTTTCAATTGAGATTCCAGATGTGACTTTGCCTTTGTGCATTTAACATCCTGCCATGGGGAAGGAATATGCCCCAAGTTCAGGGATGGGATGGACCCTCTGTAGTAGGAATTTTACAGAATCTTATTAATAAAATCAAACCCAGGGCCAGTTATTGGGGTGAAATGCTGGATGGTCAGAGAGACAGAACAAGCCACAGCTAACCTCACCTAGCCAACTTCTCAGCTGATCCTGTTTCCTCAGACTGGAAGCCTCTGTGTCCTCATATCTGAATGGCTCTCAGCTGAACTGTGCTGCTAGAAGCCTGAAAGCTTAACCAGCCAAATGCTTAACCAGACAAATGCTTAACCAGACAAATGCTTCTAGTTTCTGGGCCTCACGCCTTATATACCTTTCTGCTTTCTACCATCACTCCCTGGGATTAAAGGCTCGCTTTCTGGGATTAAAGGCGTGTGTCACCATGCCTGGCCGTTTTCAATGTGGCCTTGAACTCACAGAGATCCAGAGGGATTTCTACCTCTGGAGTGTTAGGATTAAAGGTGTGAGTACCACCATTTTCTAGCCTTTGTATCTAGTGGCTGTTCTGTCTCTGACCCCAGATAAGTTTATTAGAGTGCACAATATTTTGGGGAACACAATACCACCACAACCCTCCATTTGTATTAAAAGACAGGGTTATCCAAGTTTGGAGTTTCTTTCTTTGTTTCTTTCTTTCTTTCTTTGTTTCTTTCTTTCTGTCTTTAATTAATTAATTTTTGTACCTATAACTCAGCAAGCATCCAGAAGGGAAAAAAGAAAATGTCCCATTATCCTCTCAAACCACAAATAATAAGCTAAAAGGGAAATAGGATAAAGAGGAAATATTGGCATATCTAGCTAATTACAGCGTCACTGGCCACTAAGTGCAGAACCAGGACTCCCCTCTATCATGTTGTTTTGACCTGAAAGTCCTCAGAGGAAAGGGTTCACATCAAAATAGAGCATTTATAATTATAAAAGATCATGGTTCACTTCCCATGGGAAAATATAACTATGTGGCTCTGTCATGAGTAACCTTGAATCTGTATGTATTTGCTCACAAACTCAATTTCTGCACCTCTAGCATGTAAGACACATGTGCTTTTTAATATTAATATGCATGTAAACTTATAAATTAAATGCTCAAAAGAGCAAATTATCAGTTTTTGTTAGCTTTTCTAAGGTAAGGGGAAAATGTCCTTCTCCTTGCCATGAGCCAGGTTGTTTTCTGTATAAGTGTTATGGATGCTGACTGACACAGAGCCATGCTGTGGAATGCAACAGGAACTTCTTGTTTTCATGGAGTCAGGTTTTTTAATCTTCATTTTCATCTTTCAATATTCTGCTTACTGTGCAGTCTACAGAATCACTGTTAGCTAAGATGGAAACGCTATTTCCTGATCATTTTTTTTTTAACAGAGGACATAAGCATTCCTTATTTTAGTGAGGAATTTCTCAGAACAGTCTCAAAGTACAGGCATGGCAAATTGAAAGTGGTGGCAATAAAACCAACTGTTTATTCTTCTCCAAGTCAAGAAATTGCTGCCCACTGTCAGCTAGGATTAAAGCTCTCTCCTCCACCTCTGGCTTTCCATTAAAGTTGGTCCAAGAGGAGACTCATTCTGCTGACAGCTGTGACCAGGGAATAGGGGAAAATAACTATTATCTTGGATGTGCCGCTAATCACCGGCACAGATGTCAATGGTCAGCCTGCTTGAGCTGGCAATTTTCCACTGTCAAGGTACCTGTCCTGAAAGCTTGTAGTCATGGCACCTTTATGTGGTGTAAATTGGGCACACTTTAAAATGTAAATCATAGAATTTAACCCTGCATTCAGGAAGAGTTAATATTTCCTCACACTCTAACAGGGTTTTTAGTTGATTGTACACATGCATGTCTGTTTTTGAAAACCCTAGAACTTATTAAATAATTTCAATATAAGTTGTTTTCTTTTGCAAATATAAAATTCTGGGGTTTTGTTGTTGTTGTTGTTTTATTTCATTCAGTGATAGCTCTCAGCGTTGGTTGAACCTATATTCTCAAGAATTCTCTTCGCTTTCCCACTTCCCTACCCCCACTAAAGTATTGTTAAATAAAGCCGTCCATAGAGGGCAGTAGAGAGGACTTCTCTAGCTTCTCTCCTGAAGACCTCAAAGCAAGTATTTAATCACTGAACAATATCCCTGGAAAGAACTCTGAGACTTTCTGAGAAGTCATTGCAGATAGCTTTAGCTCCTTCACAGAATTGCTCTTGCAGATGAAATTGAAACGTAGATTTGAACTGGTCTGCTCAGTAGCCATGTGGCCTTTGGCAACAGTTCTGTAACATCAGGTTGTTGAGTCCTGTGCCTCACCTAGAGCTTTCTCATGAACATTCATGTTGATCCTCATGCCAGCCTTGTGTGCTCTTCTATCCTCTATTTATAGAGAACAAGAGTGTTTAGGAGGAA